AATTCTTTCGCTGTTATGTCCAACCTCAGAAGCGTATCACTGCGCTTCCAGATGGCACACCGTGGACGGTACGGCACGACGACGCCGATGGCGGCGGACAACAACTCGGTGCGAAGTGTAAGCTCCGAAGACGTGAGCTACGCAGGAGTGCGAGGTCAATGCTGCGTGAAGGCAGCCAACCCCGCCTACAAGAGAGGCCGACGGCTCCAGCTGATGCAGATGCTAGTGCTCCCATTTATCCCTATCTTGGCTCTCATCATCCAGACAGCCATCACTCTGCACGAGATCATCATATACAGACAGGAAGTCTCCGACATTGAAGCCCAGGTTTGTGAATATAACAAGCGATAAGAATCTTCCTTAAACCGAACCGTCGTCTTATTTAGATTGTACATACTGAATAAATACAGCTAAAAGTACATTTAACCAGATTCAGTTTATTTTATTATAGAATATGACTGTCTTCCGGGATGTTGCGCCGAGTGTATTGATAGAAGTCGGTAAACTTCTGCCATACCACAGGGTGCAACAACCCTGAATACAGAAATCTTCAAACCCGTCGCCGTAAAACCTGAAATTTCACTGCAATAGAGAAATGCCCAACATAGCTGTGAGCCTATCCAGAAATGATAAAGAGATGGAAGAAATTCTCAAAATTCACGCTTATGACCTATCATTCATAAGCAACAAATTAGAATCGTGAGAACAAAAACTGGGTGTCTGACAACCATACCTCGTGTTTTAAAATATTTTGAGTCGCTCTGTAGAGGGATCACTCTTATCTCAGACACAACGAGGTTAGACCTAACACTAGCAGAGCCAGTAGTAGTTTCACCCCATTTTCCTCAGTTCCTAGCGCCTTAATACAATTAATTTCTCTTTTCGTGACATCAAGGCAACAAAGTCAGCGCCTTTGATCTCATTTCCACAGATGTTTCTCTAGTAATGTAAAAAGCAACTCTCGAAGTGCCTTTTATTAACTTTGCAACGGGATTGGTGTAATGAGTGAGGAGGGCACTTGTTCGCAAATAATTAACATTATTTTATATAATACAAGAATCAGTTCTACTTACTTTTCGGTCGATATGACGTAAGCCGCTGTCCAAACGCACTTGAAAAATAAGAAGATATATGAATAACAGTTAATACAAAAATAAATGTCGCCAAAACTAGAAAGTTTACGTGAAATTGTTATGAAATGCATAAAAAGTCTCTCACCAAATATTATCAGGATTATTAAATTAAGGAGGATGAGATATTATAAAGAACGTTCACTGTCTCTTTTCCTTCTTCATAGGATGGCCATGCATTTATTTCGTTTCCGATTCTAATATCTTAAAATGATACGATGGATATTCAAGTGAAAGAACGGAGTAGAAAAATATCGTATTTGGAGCGCAACTTCGTTCTGTTCTTCAGCCAACGGACGTTTCTAACAAGAGCAGGCTCACTCTTTATCCCACTGGCAAACTTTGACGGTTATAATACACCATAATGTACGTACGTTTACCTGATATACGATAATCGTACGGGAGACCATTAGTGATATGATACTACGATTAATAACTCTGTTATGCTGTCATTTTTCTCGATCTAGTTATATGAAAATGAAAAATTAGTACACGAACATTGCTTACTATAAAACAGATGGTTAGAAAGCGTTTCGTAGTTGATCATACTGACCAATACATTACGGTTTCAAATACACAACGAAACAACCCTATCGTTCTTTATTAATGTTTTCTTTGAGGGCAGAAACCGTCAATCATCGTCATCACGGATTAAACTCTTGGCATATATCTGCCTACAAGGATTAAAACATATTCCTGTCATATTTTAGTCGGACGTTCATACATCTTCTTGCTACAGTAACATAGCAGCTTAGGGATTTCACTTTTCTGAATTGCATTTAAAATGTTTTCGTCATTTCCTTTAATAATATTCCACTTTGTATATTTATTTTTGTTATTGTGTAATATATCCTTTAAGTTTATGACATCATTGTTTATCCTGCAACCGACGTAAGAAAACATTTTTGAAGACAAAAGTACGCGTTAAAATATTTCACTTTCGATCCTACAACGGTATCCGCCTTTGATACTGCGAAACAGTTATAAAATAATACATTATGGACTGCGTGACCCTTTCAGTCTTCAAGCGACGACACAAGTGCTCGCAGGCAAAGTTCTTATTTTTTCGAACATTGTTATCAACAATTAATAATCGTACTACACAAAAACTTTGAAGGGATTTTCTCGCGTTTAGTGGTAAAAAACGTGTATTACCCTTTAATCTTATATTACATGGATCCGGCGTTAACACTTGAGCATTAATAATACGTCTCAGTTCCTGCAAGCAAGTCTCGGGAAAATTCCTGAAAACAGACGCCGAAAACGTTAACCCAAGCGGTGATGAGTCTGATTCTAACTCAGAGGGTAACTTATCGTTCGATTCTCAGCTAGGGTACAGTCCATTCTGAGGATTTTCTCCGTCCCTACTACTAGTCTTGATAGTACCTTCAGACAACTTTCCCCATTAACCGTACATAATGACCCTTTCAACGCATTCAGGATTGAAGATAGTAACAGTATGTTCCTCTGAATCGTTGGTACGTACCTACAAGTCCGCAATCCAAAATACCACAATCGAAATTTTCTCCTCTGTCAGATCTCTTAAGCCACTTTTAAAAACGTCTATCTTATGTATTTTGAGTGAGAAATTCATACGCGAATTTCTAATTAAATCCCAAAGTGGGTTAACAGAACTGTTATCCATTTCCCCAGCATGTTTGTCGGACCTATATTTTAACAAGATGATTATTATGAATGTTACCTGAACATGAATAGGTACAATTCAGTAACGTTCGATTCGTTCTGACATCAGTGAAGCATGGGAGAATTATACAGTAGGTTAGCTATATTCAGCTACTTGACGCTCTTTCAATTTAATACAAAAGCATTTGCCCATGTATCATGTTGAGAGCCGAAACTAAGCATATATATGTATGTGCATTCATTGGCATGCTTTCATGTAAACTAGACTTTTAAACAAAAAACCTGAAGCCTGGAAAATGCTTCAACAAAATTGGCTCTAATACTGAACCGTGTTTTATTACAGCGATTACTAAATTTAAACATTAATGCTAGTATAATACGTAGGCCTATATTACAAAAACAAAGTGAGAGAGTGAATAGACTCAGTCCTTGCCGGTTATCTACGTACATGGTACAAAAGTAGTGTATTATAATAATTTAACAATGACTAGAGAAATTCTAAAATAGTTTAGATTAGATTTTATTGCAAAATAGGTTTAGTCATAAAAAACTTACTTTTGCTTCAAACAAATAATCAACCGATGTGACGAAAAACCTAAACCTTTCACGGCAAACCAAATTAGTAAAATTCTGTAGGGCTGTTAGCCGTACCAAATTAATTTTACATGGCTGAGAGCCCGAAAGGATTTTATTAATTCTTGATACTGACTGACCGACGAATGAATTAATAAATTTGTAGATGGTTGAATAAATTTAAGGGACATTGTTCGGAAATAAGTAGAGCTAGGTAACTGGCATTCACCAAAGAAAGTATGAGAAATCTAGCTAATTTTCATGAAACTTGTTATGAACGTCTTGCCATTAGATGCAACTTTAACTACTTAGTCTTTAATCTTCAATCATCAATAATACTAACATGGCGGCAGCGCGATGATCTGAATAGCAAGCGCCACTAATGTTACTTCATGTAGAATCCAACTAACCAATTTTATCGCAGATACGGAGCATTTCAGACGAAATGAAACACAGTTTTAAGTTTCTGAGTTACGACGTATACCGGTAATCATATCCATAGACTCCTTTTAACGCAAATAGCAGTAAAAAACGGCTACTCAAAATTGTGTCCGATGCAAGAAGCTGGAAAATTTTCTGTCGACTCATATTTCATCTCTGCGTCCTTCGTGTTGTTTACCTTGCAACAAGTTAATTATTGTGCAAACTTCTGCATATTATGCCTCTTTTCATAGACAATTACCTGAATATCTCTGTATTGTTTGCCATTGTCATTCTTCAAGCCGCGGAAGACAGTAATGCCTCTATAGTGTGTTTAATGAGAATAACCCAACCACCAGGAAATACAGCCTCGCTGACCCCATTACATGACACTCCAAAACCATGCTGTGACTACGTAATATTCCACTCATGCATAATTTACACTTTATCGTCTTTTTTAATAACTCTGAGAAGGAGGTAAAAGGCCCAGTGCGATAAGTTAATTGCTTAGCGAGCGCTTGGTGGTGTTGGCCCACACCGAGATCGCGGCTCAGAATCTCGCTCAGGACATCGATGTTTGTCAGCAGTTTCCTCTAATGTCTAATGACTTTAGAGACTTAGGGACCGGCTAATACAACCCGTTTCAAGAGATCCTATGACGTGTGGACGTAGCCAAGCCATGCATGTGTGGTGATGCAGTATTCTCTGAAAATTGTGAACGATCGTCTATATAATATTTAAGAATTCAGTAAGTACCTCAATGAAAACGTAACACTTCACCCTTACAGAAATCAATCTGACAATGCTGTTCAAGGAAATAATCCCATTTTACACTGATATGCTATGAGATGTGGCTTTAATTGTATTATTCTTTATTAACAAAGAAATGAGAGGCGTGGCTCATACAACGTTCCTAGAGCTGCTCCTACAAACAGATCTTTGGATTCTTGGGACTCATTATCTGAGAATTAAACGTTGGTCGGAAGAAGGCTAGGACTCGAAGGAGAATACGAAGAAAAAATTACCCGTGTGATTATCACTGGAAACATTCCAGATTATTTTTGCTTTAAAATACTCCAAGTAAATGAATAAGTAGGTTAAATTTTACCTCTCCTTTTATGTCTGCACGAACCTTCTGCCTCTAAGTCCACAACAGCCGCATTTATATCCACTTTTGTAATGGCAGTGAGGAAACAAAAATAGTTTCGAGAAAATACGACAATGTGAGCTGTTTGGGTGCTAAGTATATATTTTTAACATTCATGCAAATAGAAAGTTGCATTGAAGGTTGTCTTCTGTGTTGTAGCGCCGTGTAGTCTGGTAAAAGTTTACCAGCGTTTCAGAGGTCTTTGCTGCCTCCATCATCAGGACGATGAGGCATTAATGGCCCTCATGATCGTCTCTTTATGCCTCACTTTATGAAATTAGTCAGAAAGAGGTCGAGAAACCAGTTCGATATTCCTCTGCACTGAGATGGACAGCAAAACCAAGGAAAACAAATTGTAGTGGGGCAGATGCGTGCACTTCAATAGAACATTAAATTAATTTATTATTTTTTTGCTTTTAGGTGACCATTGCCACTGATCTAGGGAAAGTGGTAACACAGATGCAACTGGAAAGGTCTGAGGTCGCATTTTTCATATTCACTAATGGCAGTACTCTACGGTAAGTGAATTCCCCTCAC